TTTTCAATTTTTAAAAAAAATATTAATGAATATTACCAATGAAAAATACACACAATTAATAAAGCAATAATAATTATTCGGAAGATTACACTCGACCGACTTTCAGTTTTTCCCTGCAAATCAAAATCGAAGAATTATATTTGAATAAGCGTTATATAACAGAGCTTTAACAAACCTTTCCTAGAATGCTATTTAATAAACATCTGTATTATAACAAATAATAAATTATTCCCTACTATTGTTATCTAGATGTGATATAATCGAGTCCATGTCAAAGTAACGGGATACATTGATTTATGGTGTAGTCTTTGTAACACATTGCAAATTTGAAGTCATAAAATTGACTGAAATATTGAGTATCATTAAATTATTTGGAAAAATTAGGAGCTCATAAGCGCAGATGTATAATATTATTTCTTTAACTGTTTTGTCTAAAATGTATTTGAAATATTATATGTTGTGTGGTGTGCAACTGCCTAGCAATGGGATAGTCCAGAACCGCAGACAGTCAATGAGTGTACTTGGACATGACTTCTTAGTTAACAGCTGTGTGTGATATCATTAATTATGTGAACCTTCCCTGTAATAAAGATGATTGTGTCTCGAGATCTCATATTAATAAACTTGCCTGTAAAGAAGTCGGTAATATACTGATGGATTAAAATTTTAAAAAAGTTTACTAGTATTAAATGTCTACTCAGATTTGTAATTTTCATTGAGATCCGATAATATTGATATATTTATGTAATATCAATTATATTATGCTTTTTAGAGTTGCTGTAATTTCCATAAGATTACTAGTGCACATATATACTCAACCTTCCTCAATTTTTTGAAGTATTTTCCAATCCATTTATGAGATACACTTAACTCGTGAAATCAAAAATAAATTTAATCCAAGTGATATTTTTATGAACGAATTAAAAATATATACATGATGTATGTAACTCCAACACCTCCAAATGAAAACCTGGAAAGAAGAAAAAACAAGGAAACATCAACGACTCCAGAACTTGATGCTGACCTTATAATTTATTAAACCAGAAACTAACTCTGGGTGTACTCACTCAAAGAAAAGACATAAATCATCATGACAATAGAGATTCTGTACTGATTAGCCAAATAAGTAATGTTGAGGGGTAACTATATTTTGATACTTAACAGACATTTTGATAAAAAAAAAAATCTGCCCAAATGCTCTAATAGATATTGAAAATAGCAACGAAAAAGCACCTATACTTCTCGTACATGGGTCACCAAAACTGACCACTTAAACTATTAAACCACTTAAACTATTTTCCCATATGAATAAGGCGTCAATCTTTTTCTTTGACAATGTATCTGGAGTTTAAAATGAAGATTTTGATACCCCTTTATATTCTACAAGACGTTCCTGCTTTAAATCCATTTGCTTTAAAATAATATAAAAAAAGGTGTTAGTGTGACCCTTTATTGTGAAAGGTTTGGTCGTTAAGTGTTGATTTCAAAGTAGAACCATTTTTTAGTTTAAGTGTGTAATTCTCTCACTGCCAGCTAATGTACTTTCCTTCCTTTTTAGAAGATATAAGTGGCAGATATATGTTTTACATTCAAAACATTCAAAAATGAAGTGCATTCAAAACTATATGTTTTACATTATTGAATGTAAGTCTTATATACACATGTATTATACATTATTGTGTATGTTAATCTATATATACAAAGACATGGTTACTAGTATTCCCTTTGTCTTCTTCACGTGTTCTTTACTAAAAAAAGTATATAATCTAAAATTAAATGGCACATACACCTTGTTCTATTTTAATTCACACGATTACTTCTTTAAATTCTGATTTACTGCAGTTATAAAGTTTTTATGAACACCTATAAAATGTTGGTAACTAGGCAACTCTAAAACTTGAAGTTTATTACACAGGCAAGTAACTTAAAAAAAAAGATTTCTGATTGAAACAATATTAGATTCGTTTACACAAGAAAATCATCACTCGTAGACTTGTCCAGAAATATTAAGGATTTATTTAAAAAAAATACGAGGTGTCTTCAGTAAAAAATTAGTAAATAAATTCAATAAATAACAAATAGTTTACCAAACTAAATATAAAAGCAAATGATTTCATTTTTTACGATCTAATACGTCAACGAAGAGTTATAAATAAAAATTGCATGATTTCCCCCTATTCTTCACAAGAAAATTCGATTTTTACAGTAGGCATGGTCACTATGCTGAGCTGATAATCAAACAAAAAATATTTCAAGCCAGAGAGATGGAAATAAGTGTGTATGTGAAAAATACGCTTCATTACAAAAATTGAAAGGTTATCCCGTTTCACTTAGTATACAGTGTCCATGAACATAGAGAAATTCAAAAGCTGGAAAACAGAGTTAAAGATGGCAGTCGATCTGGTTGATGCATGTGCACTGGAAGTTAATGTAAATATTGAGTGTGAGTGCCTAAGAATTTTGCTAGACTGCTCTACTTCCGGTTACAATCACAAGTGAATTTAAAGCTTAATTCTGATTGGTCAGTAAAACTGTAGAAAATTAAAACAAAAGTAAAACAGTGTTCTACCCTTCCCTTTTTTATACATGCACATACTCAATATCTACGTAACTTCCAGTGCCCGTGGGTCGATGGACATCGGAAGTGAAACAGAAAAATATTTATGTTTTGAGCAAAATGGTATCTAATGATGACAGATATACAGTGAAAGACATTGCTAAGACACAATAATTTCATCTGGACTGTTCATAGGAATCTGACTGAAGAAAATTGCTGCCATATGTGTGACTCGTTGTGCTTTCAGATGGGTTACTCACTGCTGTCAGATAGGTTCCTCACTGCTGCCAGATGAGTGACTCACTGCTGCCAGATGGGTGACTCACTGCTGCCAGATGGGTGACTCACTGCTGTCAGATGGGTTAATTACTCACTGCACAGGCACTTGTTTAGTATACGGGGCAACCCCTTCTTAATTATAATGGGATTAATATTTTAAAAAATTGCGAGCTTGAAGCGGGGGTGCCTGAAATTGAGTTACGTACCTTTTGGTAAAATTAAGTAGGGGATGCCCCGTATACGAAACAAGTGCTTGTGACTCACTGCTTCCAGACGGGTGATTCACTGTTGCCAGAAGAGTGACTCACTGCTGCCAGATGGGTGAAACTGCTTACAGATGGTTAACTCACTATTAACAGTTGAGTGACTCACTGTTTAGAGATGCTTAAAAGAAAATGTGCGTTAAAATTGCGTTTTTTAAAAAAAAAAAATTGACCAAAAAAAAATTGATAAACTTTGATGATTGACGATACAAGGATGGACTATTTTGGATGGACTATTTGGAGTCCCAGAGGAAGACAATAAATGTGGATTCAGAGAGGTAGCTGTAGTCCTATAATCGCCAAGAGAAGTCAGAGCTCTAAAAAGATTTTACAATGGTACAATAGTATCTTTTATGTTCAAACTTATTGAGAAAAGTTAAGCAGGTCGCCTGTTTTTGTTTGACTCAACTATGCTGCTGCATACAAGCATAAAGATGTAAACGAATTCTTGAAAAAAAGAAACTTTGAGAGGTTATTTATCCCTCGTGTTCACCAGATCTCAGTCCGATTTCTTTCTATTCCAGAAACCTAGGAAAATGTTCACAGGAAGACGCCACAATTTTCCTGGGGAGTCAACAAACGTCTCTTGAGCATCTGTAGAGAAAAGTATGCTGAGGAGTTCTGGTCGTAGTTCAAGAGACCTGGGACATGTGTGAAGGTTAATGGAAAATACTCTGAGGGATTAAAAACAAAATAAGTGCTGAGTGTTTTGATAACCTTTTGCATTATTTATAAAACACTCCTTTTATAAATAATGTGTGTGTGTTTTTGCGTGCGTGCGTGTATGTGTGTGTTGCTACTAAGTATAAATACAGGATTTATTGACTTTGCAATCTTAGAATTTTCAAATTCATGATTGATATTTCCTAACATTTAGTTGCTCCCCCTTTTGTGCCTTGCCAATAGGTTTCCTATGAATTAGGTTTGCACAGAACATTTCTGGAATCGAGTACCATTCCTGCTGAAGTGTATTCCACAAGTCTTTTTTTTTTTAGCCGTTGGTATTTCTGTACCAAAGTCCTTTTTTAAAGCCAATGATTTAAATTGCGTTTCAATTGGAATTGTCTCCCAAGCTGCCATTAGTGCTCACCAGGAGAAGCTGAAAAAAGTACTTGTTTATCATTTCTTAGAAAACGAATTGAATGTATTATCTAGCAGCATCCCATACATGTAACTCAAATAGCACAAGAAAGTTTCTCAAACGAAATATAGTTTCTACACTTCCGTTGCCCTGGAACAGTCAAATAAAGCTGAACAGACCTTATTCGAAACACACTGGTGACTGATAAATAAAGGATTTGTGACAGGCACTCTAGCTAGAACGGTGCTGAATTTCAAAACAAAGTTCTGTAAGGACTTAGTTAATAGCATACCTAATTGTTCGTACAAAAAGGGGAGCAGCTAAGTACTACAAAGTAAATTATCAATCATGAATATAAAACATTGAAAAACAAATTGCATAATTCATCATGTCTGTTGATTGTGCCCTTGTTTAGTGGCAATATACATTTTTTTCAAAATGTGCAACAGTTCACAAAAGCATGCAAGATGAAAAAGTAAATTAGTCAGCAAAGCACACAACAGTTTCTCTGACTTAAGTCTAAAACTCACAAGTTCATTTCAATTATTCATCCGTATGAAGATGTAGTTAGCTTTAATATTCAGTGTACGTCATTATAAAAATAAATCATTCCACAAAATGTAGAATATGAGCTAAAAATACAATTCGTACAAAGAATCCAAACAATGCACAAGCATATTGTATGTATTATTGTTTCCTAAAATGATCCTAAATTTTTTGTATTTGTAGCTTTGTTAACCCAGACAATAAACGAAAAAGTGTTATTATATTATAATATACTATTATATCATACGTAAATATGCAATCATATTTAAATCATATTTAAATCAAATTGCATATTACATTTTAACAATTCAACAAAAATCCGAAAGACTAAGTTTTTTTTCACTTCAAAATTGTAAAAATTCTGTCATTATCTGCATTACTATTTTGGTACAAGTATCGTAATTCCTGCGAACATATCAACAATTTTTAGAATTAAAAGCAATGAAATTGATTTTAAAAAATTGATAAAAATAATATTCTGAAAAGTATTGGACTTGTTGATTAAGTAATACAAATAAATATGCATTTTCATACCCGGAGCATTACTTGACTGAAATTGATTCTCCACAATAAGTTATCAGTTAATATATTATGAGTTAATATATTATTTTTGCAAAGGATTGTCTGCATTTGCTTCCCGTCTAGTGTATTTGTTACCAGGTTAAAACTGTGGCAAAAATCTTAAAGAAAAAACGTATACATATACATTTATATAAATTCTGCACTATCAAAATTGATAAAGTTTTTAAAAGGTCATATTTTTTTCTTTTGAATATAATGTTTTGGTCCATTTGGGAACAGCGCATGAAGCTAATATACGTTCACCAGAGGTGCCATGAATTGATCTACACTGGTCTACGATCAAAATCATGACGTCATTGTCCGTAATCACACAAGGGATTCTGTGTTTTCTGTAGTGGGATCGAATTGAACGACAATGCCATTTTCATCTCCGTTACCTCTCCCATTAGATAAAGGTTTGTTTTCCGGTGAGTGATTACCTGAATTATGATCAGTCTCTGAGTCTACATTAACAGTAACTGGTTTACTTTCTAGAGAACTTTCAGTTTTATTTTGAGGTTTCTGTTGGGATTGTCTAGATGTCTCCCTACCATTGTCAGACTTGGAATCAGAAGAGTCTCTATCGCTACTTTGACGAGTTTCTTCATTTTTTTCTTTCACAGAATCAACAGAAGCCCCTGCAGTTCTCACATCTAAAAGAGGAGAGGATGCCATTTTTACAACACGTTTAGGGGATGGAGGCGGGGAAGTTTTGACTTTTGCGTCCTCCTTCTTGGATGAGGATGTTGAAGGAGTTGTTTTCCGGAGTTTGAAGCCCTTTCTTATGTCCGTTAGTAAACGATCAATGATACACCCATCCTCATCGGGTTCTGGTACTGTAGGGGCATCTGAAAATAAAACATTTTTGTTAAAACAAAACCAAATAATATAGATACAGAACTGTCTGTAGGTATGCAGACTGACATACGTTTAGTACGTTTGCTCGCCATTTCTTGTTGCTGTTTCTTCCTGCGCTCTGCCTTTTCTTCCTGCTGTTTTCTTTGAAGATTCTCCTGTTGGAAAATTCAGAAAAGGAGTGGTGAAGTTTTCTCAAAATGTAACTTAAATTGAAAAAAAAAAAATTTACTAGTAAACTTTACCTTTTGGCACTGTTTAACACGATCACAGAACGTATTTAGATTGTTAATACATTCCTCTAATTTGAACGCTTTTTCGTTTTCACAGAAATAGCTGACCAGCTGCTTGGTAAGTTCGGTGATTTCCTGTAACTTCTTGTCTAGAGATGCCATCTCCTCCTCAGCATCCTAGAAATACCAAGGTACTGGTTACTTCCTGAATGATTTGCACATTGGTGTCAGTTTATTATTCTATTTCTGCATCAAACATAATGGGAACACATATTAAGATATCATCAATTCAAATACTAAGTTTGCTTCTCTGATGTCTCGGACGGCAGTTAGATAAACAAACCTTATAAGCCTGAGGGCTACACGGCTCACCTGTATGAAAGTTTTGAGTTGGTTTTTGACATCCTCAGGACAAGCCTCTAAATCTTTATGAAGTTTGTTGACACTGGTTTTTAACTGTTTCACTTCAGCTGTTAAAGCATCTACTGTCAACCTTTACAAAATATGGCAAGTTGTTGCATTTATTAAATTCACGAAAGACTCATATAATATTAAGAAATTCCTTCAAGATGTAATTTTGGCAAAAAAACTACTTAATTATCAAAATATTAGCGCAGATTTGATTGAGTTAGAGACTTCTTATAATTTGTGCAGAAAGAACAGATGTGTGAAACGTCTGGCTAAGCAAAATACACGGTATAATGGTATTATAATTTGCCTCTGTTACAAATCACATCTGTTCCTGAAATTATGCTTTTGTCTTGAACCCTTTTTAAAAAAAAAATAATCTTATTTTGTTTATGAAATATTTGTACAATGTGCTTCAAGAACTGATTTTTCATGCATCACCAATAAACCTCTAATTAATACACTAATCCATTTACTTTAAATATAAGATAATGAATTAAAGATTTACTTCAATAGTAAAATCACAGAAGCCCCTGACCTTGAAGCTCTAGCTAGATCCGAGGACATTTCGTCAACAAAATTCAGAGCGTCTTTATTCTCCTTCTCCGCCTCACCCACTAGGTAATGTAGCAGTGTCACCCGCGGTTTGTTTGCCCTCGTGTCCATCAGCTTATTCAGGGAGTTTATCCGGAAACCCATGGCATTCCCAGCGTATCCTCCCTAAACCGCAAGGAATATTCAGTAGACTTCATAATATTTATCATGTGGAAAATTTTGCTTATTATTGTAAATCTCTGGACTTGTATAAGCTACAGTATCCTAAATTATGTGCATTACTTATGAAATGCAAAAAAAAAAAAAAAAATTACCAGGGTTAAATTGCAAAGTATCTAGATATCTTGCGACTACATTTTGAAAATTTCACTAAATTGTATGATAAAGATCTAAGAGCTAAGTATGGACAATTACCGCGTTCATGAAATTCCCAGCATGTAAGACATATCGTAGGAAGACTTTGAAGGACTCGTTCTCTAGAAGGTGTTGGCAGGCCTTCACTACGGCCTGAATATTAGGTAACAGTGTGTCCAACGTTACTCGAAATTCGTCTTTTAGAACCAAACCATCAATACGAATTTTAAAGGACTGTAGCTGGATAAGTTTTAGGAAGAATTTCTCTGCGTTTCCGAGTTTCTCTTTGTCTCCCTCAAAACCTTTAATCATGTTCACCTGATAAACATGAACAAATAGTATAAGGGAGAGAACTTCTAAATCATTGAATATAAAAATATGTATTTCTCAGAATACATGCCTGAACGACATCGTAAGGAACTCAAAGCAGGGATTAGCAGATACATATATAATTATTACAAACTTTTATTGTTACAATATATATGTTGCAATGACAAGGATGAATATGTTTTACTTCACGAATACTGAAATATAAAATGGGAGGAAAAAAACTTAATCGATGAATTTCAGAGATTAATTATGAATCAGTACGTAGCTCAGCGTCAAATACCTCCATGCCAAGCAGCAATATCAAATACATACTATTTTCAATGAAAATGTGTATCAACTTTATTTGGCTCTATTTGGGAAAACGAATTTTTGAATTCCCGATTGAAGTATGAGTTTTGAAATAATATAATATCGTCTTAAATTCCCTTTACTCATACAATTTTACGCATTGCTCCCGTTGTCTAAGGGTATTCAAGTGTGACTAAATGACTAAAGATGAATTATAGGAAGTGTGACTTTCAATAAAGTCTTCTTTCGTATTTCCTGACTAAAGTTTGATATAAAATATATGTCAGGTTTGTTAATTTTGCTTCTCTCAGCAGGAATAACAGGGTCCCGGTTGTAGTGGAAATGGAATCTTGTCAATACCACCAACAAGTGTAGTCCAAATCTTTCTTTTCTAAATCTGAACATTTTTATTTTAAAAAGTATCATCTTCTCCGTATGAGTTTTCCGCAGTCATGCCGATTGATGTCGAAAATAGAATTATTTTCAGAATCCAGCTGCACTTTTTCTACGACTTCATTTATCACAAGGAATATAACAATCAGTTTTAAGCCATAACAAAACAAAAATTATTTCGGTTTTCGTGATCTGGCTATAAAATATTTTATGGAATTAAACAGCTTGAGTTGATGAATCTGTTTTACAACCTTTAAACTTTTTTTCCTGTTATACATTGCATTAACCTTGTAAATTTATGCTGTATTTAATTGGTATTTTTTTTCACTTTGACTCATGACTTCATGTCCTTTTATGTGTGTGTTTTTTAATTATTCTCTTTAAAAATGCAGCGAATCCTGATCGAATCTTTATACATGTATGCATTTTTTAAATGTTTTTGCCAACGACTCTTTACCTCGTCTGCCTCTGGAAGGATCTTTTGCAGACCGCGCAGGCGCTCTTGGCCGATGGCGCTCACATCACCTGCCTCAATCATAGACATAATTTCATCATGACTGCACTTAAACTGCTTCAGGAAGATGTTCACATTCATGCTTCTCTTTGTATCCAGTAGTAATATCTGCAATAATGATTTTATTTTTACAAGATGTGATCATTGTATTACTTGAATAATGTTTTGCAAATAAAACCTCAGATAAGGGGGCATATACCTTAATTACTTCAATCTTGTGTTGATATAAACAGTATAAAAGACTCAGTTACATAAGCGCCATACATTATCTCAGATCTTCAAAAAAGGGAAAGTTTATCGCGGTATACCTAAATTAAAATTGGAATACGTTGAAGAGTCACTTAATGATAAAAGTGGGCGTTTATTAGAAATCCAGTGGGCCTCTTTCATAAAATTAATCACTGCAACAGAATTGGTTGCAGTAAAACGGAAATAAAATCGACATTTACACACTAGGAATTTGCTTTTTTCAGTTTTCCCAGAACTTTATTGAATTCTAGCACGAAAACGTTTGTAATTCACATTTATAAGCACATTATTACCTCTCTTCATGTGGCCTATTTTGGAGTATCTAAGTGGTGACCTATTTTGGAGTATCTAAGTGGTGGGTAAGATGGGGGTTAATGATGCCTATTTTGGAATATCTAAGAGGTGGGTAAAATGGGAGTAATGACGCCTATTTTGGAGTATCTCAGCGGTCAGCTATTTTGGAGTATCTAAGTGGTGACCTATGTTGGAGTTATCAGTATATAAGTGGTAGCCTATTTTGGAGTATCTAAGTGGTGAAATATTTTGGAATATCTAAGTGGTGGCCTTTTTTGGAGTATCTAAGTGGTGGCCTATTTTGGAGTATCTAAGTTTTGGCCTATTTTGGAGTATCTAAGTGGTGGCCTATTTTGGAGTATCTAGGTGGTGGCCTCTTTTAGAGTATCTAATTGGTGACCTATTTTATGATATCTAAGTGGTGGCCTATTTTGGAGTATCTAAGTGGTGAAATATTTTGGAATATCTAAGTAGTGGCCTTTTTTGGAGTATCTAAGTGGTGGCCTATTTTGGAGTATCTAATTGGTGACCTATTTTATATTTAAGTGGTGGGTAAGATGGGGGTAATGACAAGAGCAAACTTCTGATGTTTTACAATCTAGTTAAATTGTCAATACATATATCTCACCTCTGAGGGTGGTTTGATTTTATTTTTCTCATTTTCTTTCCTCTTCTGGATTTGCTTCTGACAGAATAGTTGTTCTAGAGCTTCATATTTTACACTTATCAGATCCTGCATATCAAGGATTTCTTTCCAAACATTTTCATGAGCTGCAATTTTTAAAACAAAACACACTCATTCAAAGGTTCGTATTCAATTTCTAAGTCTTGGTCAATTTACATCAGTCTGGTATTACTATAACTAGCACACAATTTGTTGCTCACTGTTTACCAGAGGCAATTGAAAAGTCACACTTACATGATATAGTATGGGATGGGACCTTTGTCCAGTTGAATGTCTTCATTTTATGTTTAGGAGTGGGAGTCCACATCTTATTAGACGATACCTGATTACTGGAGAAGGTTAATGGTGTTGGTCTTGCCTTGCCCATCCCAGGTGGAGGTGGTGGGGGAGGTGGTCCACAGCCTGGGGGTGGAGGGGGAGGAGGAGGGACTTGAGGTCCACACCCTTGGGGTGGAGGAGGTGGAGGAGGAGGGATGGGAATGCCTATTCCAGGGGGAGGTGGTGGTGGTGGTGGAGGAGGTGGTGGCCTCACACCTGGTGGTGGTGGTGGTGGAGGAGGAGGAACAGGAGGTTCCATTCCAGGAGGAGGTGGTGGTGGTGGTGGCAGCGGTATAGCACTTTCTTGTTGATACGGCAGAGGTGGTGATCCCATACCTGGTGGGGGCGGTGGAGGGGGTGGGGGTGGTGGAGGTGGGGCTGATCCACCATTTTGCTGAGAGATTGTAGATAGTGATGATGGTAATGCTGATTCTTGAATGTTTTGATTTTGTTCTGTTGAGTCTGTGTTTGGAGATGAACTTGAATGGATGTTACTTGATGGAGATAAATCATCATTCACAAAATTAAAACACTGGTCAATTTCCTTGTCAATTCTCTTAAGTGTATCACAGGATGGCTTTGTATTTTGATTCAATTTTGCTTCTAATGCTTTTTTCAAGTCTGTAGACCTTTCTTTGAAAAGACTGGAGTGTGCTGGAGGTGGTGCTGATATTGATCTGTTTATGGGTATGGGGTCAGTCTGAACAGCCTTGGATGCCCCTGGGTATTTAGGTAACACTTCTGTCCCTCCTAGAGAAGCTCTGTTGACATGGGTCTCGTCGATCAGAAATGCTCGCCTCACAGAGGTCTCTACTATGTTCCACTGTACATCACTGGAAAATAAAAATGTTTTACCTTTTTTTGGTTATGTGTTCCTAATTTTGTAATGATTGCTTTATATTATTCAGGGCAAATTTAACAAATGTACTTCTTTTGTTGTACCTTTTTTTTTTTTAGTTTTCCTTTAAAACAAGTTGTAACATATATTATCAGACAATATTGCTTATTGTTCTTACTTACATTGACATTTGTATTAAATGCCCTTTTTCAATATAATGTATGTTGCTATTATCTTTTGGCAAAAAACAGAGAAGAGTTGGCTCTGGTAGAAAAATGAGCAAAGGGTAATTGGGGAAAACCATAGATGATGGTATAAATATGTTGAGAGTATACGAGTAATTCAATAACAGCAATGGTATTACACAAATACTTATCATTTTAAAATGATGTTTGAGAATACGTATGTTTTTGTAAATACACAGAGAATGTGGTTTAGTATAGTCTTCCCTGTATCTTATTGTCCGTAAACCTTACATTATGTTCTATCAGATATATTACGCAATCAAAACACTGATATAGGAGACAAAAGGAAAACAGAAAACATCAAGTAGTAAGATCTTTGAAGAAAGATTTAAAATGAATCATCTACAAGTATCTCAATGGGACTGATTTCCCACAACAAAGTTTGAGATGCGGTGTCTTCTTCAATGCCCTCTATTAGTTTACTGAAAACTTTAATAATCCTGCTGATCTGTTTTGAAATAAGTAAGTTGTTTAGAACCTGATACCATGTTCAACATTTCAAATAAACCGCCAGTCTACTTATATTGGATCCAGAATCATTAGACTGATACAAACATTTTGCAGGAAATGGAATTCTATAAGGCTAGCTTGTATTAAAATCAGTCCCCTTTATATTTCAGAGGCTGTTAAAGTCTCGAAGACAGAAATTAAAGTAGACTGATTTTTCTGAAAATAAGTACAGAAAAATATCTATATTTACACTTACCTAAGCGGGTTTTCTGGTTCAATTTGTAAAAGAGTTTGCAGCACATTAAGAAACACGTCCGCCAAGGGAGTGTTGTAAACCTGAAAAGAGATATCATTAGATGTCTTATCATTAGATGTTTTATCATTAGATGTCCTATCACATACACAGGTATAAGCATTCATCTTTCACTCTTTACCCAACAGTAGCAACAAAGAGATCACAGGTTACTAGATACGTTCCTATATGACATTAGGGTTATGGTACCGTGGTTCCATTGCAAAGACACAAAGAGATTTTGCTCTAAAAGCTTTTTCTAATATTTGGGAGTTTGTAATTTTCCCAGATACTTGTGTATATCAATAGTCTTTATCAAAACTACACAGAGCTTTCATATCACGATCTAGATATCCATTGTAAGTATTATCTATTATATCATCGGTAAATTTGAACTATAATATTATACTCTTTAAGCTAATCTCACTGCCTAATAATCATAATATTAAAAAAAGAGGCAAACATTTGGTATGGAAAAGATGAGAACATTTCATTACGAATCTGAAAAGAAAACAAACACCAAAAACCTTTTAAATTATGCGGAACTTTGTAAATAACTGAAAATTCTATAGCACAATTAAATGACTTCAGTATTTCATTTGTATTTACATATAAGTGTTATTAATACAGAATTTATCAGTTCAGTATCGTCTGGTAAGTATCCAGATGTTACCACTTTGATTTGTTTAAATAAGGAAACCACACATTTTCGGAAAAATTGTACAAATGTAAATTTATGACTAACTTTATAATGATAACCTGTTTGAAAATCTTACGAGCAGCTGGCTGATAAAACATCTAGGTTAGCGAATATCTACTGAAATAGCAAATGCTTTAAAATTCATGAAAATGTTTTTACATGTACATACTGAGTTTATTAAGTTATTTTCAGCTAAATGTAACTGCCTTTTTTCTTCACGGATAATAATCAAAGACAGCAAAGTATCACTGTACGGAAATCGCTGTTGTTTTTAATATTGCAAAAATACTTGCAAATAATATGTTCTATTCTTTTATCTTGGTCTAATACATTTGCTAAGTATAGCTTTATCAAATTATGTTGTTTACTGTAGATTTCCGTTTACTCAATCTAAAATTAAAGGATAGATCACTCTAACTGCATAAAATTATACCACAGAATTAGAACTCTTCAGTGAGCAGTGTGCAGAGCTTCCTTAAGAATCCCGTAAACATTGAATCTTCGTAAAGATAAAACTTAAGAACAAAACATTAATGAATATACGATGTAATTTATGTTGTAGATTAATTTAAACCATGCATTTTGAAAGTTTTGACCTGATATCATGTTAACATACACATTATAAAAGTCACCTTATGATAGAGGGCATTGAACACTTCTTTATGATCGTTAATATCTACACACGCAGGATTTAAAGCTGCTAACTCATCATCGTCCGATTCCTTCTCGTCATCAAAAACATCGCACTGAATGATCAAATCCTCGTCATCTTCGTTTCTTAAATTGTTGATCATATCAAGAATGTTCAAACCTACAAGTCAGGGAAAAAATAACGTAATCCGTTCGCTATATAACTAATCAATAATTATGAATTCAGAATTCCTGTAAAATTTTATAAAGACTTACCTGATTTCAAAGTTAATATGTTACATATATCCATTTGTGTTTATACTACAAAGTTAATATGTTACATATATCCATTTGTGTTTATCTACAGATTTCTATGTATAGTACTGAGTATAACCAATAGCCCTTGTGATAACAGAAGGATTCCCAAGTTTCACTTTTGTTACATGGAGTTTTTCTTTTTATTTATGGAGATGGGCTTCCCGGACAAAATTATATCCATTCTTTATTTTTGTCCAGAGTTATGTTTTTTTTTTTTAATTAAGGACTTTCCAAGTTCCGTTTGAACGTTTTCAACTAAATTGCCTGGAAGAGCATTCCTGAGAACAGAGTATTAATTTATTATAAGGTTTACCTTTTTACAATTAGCTTGGAAATATATTTAAATTTAAGGTTACATCGATATTGAAAAGAATATCAATACCCAAATTAATGGTATTTAAAAGAGCAAGTACTTTCGTGTAAAAATTATCATTAAGAGTTAAGGTTATGAGTGCAAAACTTAAGGACCATAACGAAGTCAAACTTGTTCTCTTAGTGCGTATAATTGTTTTCCCCAATGGTAATTTCTACAAACCAGGTATGGGTGTTGACGACGGAGTAGGTAGGGATTTTTAAATGAGTCCTAATTATGTTAAAAACTTGTGTTACAGTCGAACTTTATTGGAAATTATCAAAATTTAACTTAATTTCATAAACATTACGTCTACAATTTGCCAATTCAATTAACAGATATTGTTAAATATTGAAAAGATATATGAGAGGGGGGTCCCAGTATGCATGGTGATGATGCATTAAAAGTCTTATCATCGCTAAGTATCTGACATCCTTATCGCATATCAGTCTCACTCACTGAGTGACGAAAGGGACTTTAGCACTGATACATTTCTTGAGAGATTTTCTTCCTAGAAACAAAATCTTGGCTTAAAAGTTAAGTGCAATCTGCTGTGTTAAGTAATAAAATCCTGTCATATGCGCTATTTTTGTACAAAGTCTTAAAAATTTGAATGGTGGACTAATTGTGTTTTGATACAATTTTAAAAAAAATGCAATAATTCTCGCTAAAATAACTATTAATTAAATAGAGAACCAAAAATACATGGAAGAAGTTTCATTTATATCTAATCGATAAGTTTCAAAGAGACGAAAGTATCTATTTATATCTGCATTTCATTACTCACAAGTGCACAATTTACAATTTATTTGCTATATTTCCATTCAATTAGTTAAAAAAAACTTTTAATGTTTACTTTAAGGTGCAAATACTGATGATGAGGACATTAAATATAGCACACACGTTCAAATATCAAGTTATATTTATCGAACACGCCTTTGTATGGTTTGATAGAGCAAACTGAACTCACCTATGAATTCATTACGGACTCTCACTCTGTCTTCTAGCTCTTCATTAGCCACTATGATGCAGTTAACAAAAGCCATTAACGCTGTCTTATAGGGAACCAAGTCCGCCATTCTCAGCTCATTTACGATCAAACTGAAACGGTATCTCTGCTTCTTCAATGTCTGAAAGGATTGTAGGAAGAGACCTCAGGTTACATTGTAAGAAGAGTTTAACTCAAAATATACTGTATATAATACTGTAGTGCTATTTTTTTCCTTTTTATGAAAAAAACAACGAGATTTACTATGAATAATTAAATGAAAAGGCTATCCCTTTGTTTCTTGAAATATTTCAAAGTGACATGAAAGAAAACGTGAAGCAGAAAATTAGTTGATTTTTTAAAAACTTTTGTAAGCAGTCATTGATACTTATACGTGACACACGATTATGATATAATTTCGCTAACACATACCCCGGTATTTCTAATACAAGCATATCAGTGACCAAAATTCATTAGCTTAAATAATATCCTTTTAATCTTCGTGGTACGTGGAAATAGACAAGATTATTATATGACCGAAAAAAAAAACGAAATTAAAACGTTATAATGAAAAGTGTATATCATAGCAAGGAACAAAATATTATCAGTACACCAATGTATAATGTCCAAGTACATCGGCGTCCAAACTAACAAAAACAGCATCAATTATTATTCCCCACCCCCCACCCCACCTCCCTTGAAAAGTGGGATTTATATGATAATAGGGGTTCCGTCCTTCCCTCATTACCACGTTGGGGTACCCATGTCTTATCCGCAACTCCTCCTATATCAAATAATAAAATCTAATGAGACTTTAAGATTCATTTTATCATAGTGCCATTGTGCACTTCCCATTTTACGTTCTGACTGGACAGATATTTCGGGTTTCCCATAGCAATAAATGGACTTTGCCATCATACTCATATCAGAGCGGGAATACGTATCATTTTGTGAGCTCTCTGCTAGCGGTAACTCTAGTCTGAGAAAAGATCTCATGTAAACTTCGACCAGAGAAAGATAACTGACTGTAGAAATAACTATAGAAATGTTAAATAATTATGGGGTTCGGATGTGTATTTTCCTCTTTTGAAACCCTGCTCTTGATTATCTGGACTAGCGGGTCAAGAAGAGCCATTAATAAATCCATCTTTTTAATCAATTTTCTTTCTAATGCAGTATGACCCCCCGTTTGACCTAAATCTTATTTTTTTTTTTTAAATTTATAAACATTTTATGCCAATTTTATGCCAATTTTGGTAAAAAAAATAATTAAGTACTTCAGGCCCCAGGATCATGAAACAGACTCGGGCTAAAGACAAAATTTCTATCGCCTGTAAAATGCTTATTAATTATTAAATTAATCTCTAAATTTGCCGATAACAACACTTTAGTAAAACAATATTGAAAAATATGTTAATTTTGATCTGCTCGATTTCTACAACATCATTGTAAAACATATTGATTATGACTTAAGCTTCCCAGGGCCCGGTCAGAAAGTTGACGATGCCTTATCTCTGTTCTAAATGACCTTGTTCATGGGGATATGACCTTGAGATTAGTTTCTAACACACTTTTAGGTCATGGCTTCTGGAGCTAGAGTCTAAATTTGATTTTGTGACAGACTACAATGACTGAAAGAAATCTCCACATTGAAGAGAATTATAACTTTTGATTTGAAGAACTGTAGGTAATACAACAACCATAAGTTACTTTATTTACTCATAACTAAACATTTTATTGCGACAATTGTTTTAAGAACAAATTTTTACATACAAGTAAAAAAAATAAGATTTAAAAAAAAATCTATTTTCCATTTACTTATGTGCATCTTTTTTGTAGAATTATTTTGTCTTTTTTCATTTTGCTGTAATCATTGCAAGATGTAATACTTTTTTTTTGCCTTTTGTAACTTTATCTCGTTTTTTTATTCTATTAGGTTAGAGCGAGCCAAAAAAATTAGATGCCATATCGTATATGAAGAATCTCACAAAGACAATTAGTGCGGTAAATCACTACGGCAGAGATCAGATTCACGGAAGATAAAAAAAAAAAAGTATCCGTTTCTCGTCGTCAACGATTTCTGATCAATGTCAGTAGACAATTCTGTAATGAAACATAGCACTACTGAGAGAACATTATTCCATTACCAGAAAATAATGAAAAATGATCTACCTTAAAGCTGTCTAAGGCGTCCATTGTCAGTCTGTATCCATCATTGGAATACACGCACAGCGCCGAAAGTAATTCGAACACTTGTTTCTTCACCATGACATTGTTTGTGTCCAGTGCTGTAATAGACAAAGTACAGATTTCTTTTCGTTACATTATGTCCATTATATGAAAAATATCCAGCTTTGATGCATTGAATTTTTCCAATTTAACAAATCCATAACAAAAGTATTTCAATTTCTCATTAATAGATTCCAAAGGTGAACGGATGCATTCTATCTGGATGATGATAATAAAATAAATAAACTGATAAGTTCCATCTGGATAGTAATAATGAGCTGATCCATTAGATATCTGGATGGAGACAATGAGCTGATACATTTTATCTGGATGGTGAAGTTGATACATTCTATCTGGATGGTTTTATTCTATCTGGATGACGATAATGAGCTGATATGTTCTGTCTGGATGGTGACAATGAGCTGATACATTCTATCTAGATGGTTTTTATTCTATCTGGATGATGATAATGAGTTGATATGTTTTATGTGGATCATGATAATGAGCTGATATGTTCTATCTGGATGTTGATAATGAGCTGATATATTCTATCTGTATGATGATAATAAGCTGATATGTTCTGTCTGGATGGTGATAATAAACTGATATATTCTATCTGGATGGTTATAATGAGCTAAATCATTCTATTTGGATGGTGATAATAAACTGATATATTCTATCTGGATGGTGATTGTTGATCGTAAAAAAGACAGATATTACAATGCAGCTCTTGTTCACCTTTCCTTATTTTATTAATAATTCAACACTGTCATTGTGAAATCACAAATTATCAATGCAATATCGTAATATCAAACTTAGGTTTGTTTATAAAACATATAACGAATCATTTGTATTTTGTTTCTATCTTTTGCACAGCTGGGAAATTTCTCAGTTTCGCACAACATAAAGTGTCATGTAGAAACGAAAAATTATTTAAGCATCCTTCCCTCTTCGAAAATAATTTTCTCCATGATGAAAAATTCATATACGTACAGGATTGCTTCTTGATCAGACATATTTAAAAATGGATTATTTCTATAATTTAGTCAATTTTTCTGGAAAATGTCCATTGCAGATGTCTTCCATTTATTCACAATAATCAATGGTATGTGGCATTCATATTTCCAACAACTGATATTGTCAGATTTTAAGTTTATAGAATTATTTTCCCAACATAAAACGCAGGTTATGTAATGTAATAATCAAGCCGAAATTAAATCCTCTAGAATTTTTTCGAATAGTAATCGGTTTAGAATGAGAGGAAAATTCTCCCTTGAATCATTGATAGCTGGAAAAAGTAGATGTTGTTCCAACTCTGAGAATCTGAATCATATGATATATTGAATCAATCTGTTTATATCTTAAAGTAACATGTATTATTTTGCTATATTCTTTCTGCTTTGTGACAGGCATCAGTCTAGGCGTAATAATCGTGATAAGAATATTATACCTAACTTAGGAATGAATACTGCAGTTCATAAGAAAAGTGTCAGAGATATTATACATCTCTGATATCTTTTATCACTTTATTTCATTGAAAGACAGCCTCTGTGTCAGTACCAAACCATTACCAATATAAAAAGAATGTAAAATGAAACAATAAATCTTCTATGAAAGACTTCCTGCAAGTAATCCATTTATCCAAATGTGATTTACTGGTCATTGAAATAGTGTGAGAAACTGATCGACTTCCTCCATCAAGCAGGAAATGTCTGTTTATGGAAAAACATAACTACAGGTTTTCAGTAGGCTCGTAACCAAAGAAGTGCCCGAATACAAAAACAAAGCAATTCCATGTGTAATTGAAAACAGAGCTAAAGCCTGCACGTTGGGTAATCGGATGATGTATTCCCAAGATCGGGTGAAAATGGAAACTATTGATCTCCAGTTCTAAATTGAATTCCTGAAATCTGGAGGCACGGCTCTTGGTAAAATTCAGAAAAATTATTTTGTAACTGACTCGTTCACGAGAAGAAAAGAGGAACAAATACCCTTGATTAATCAAATTCTCTATAGTGTAATATTTGTTTTCTTGTCTTTGACTTTGAGGGTTCATTATTCAATCCCGAGAGAGTATGAATATTCTAAAATACCGTGTTTCAAGGACTATAGTCAGCTTTTATAATGTATACGATAACTGTTTCTTTTTTAAAAGGGATATCATTTTTAAATGCCAAACAAAAAATAATAATCGTAAAATAAATAAAAGAAACAAAACAAACAATAAAAAACAAAACAAACGGCCGCGCTGTTTTATACTATATATCCCATGGCTCTTACATATTCTGATATGTATTGCAAGAGCAATATTGTCAATTCATCAAAATGTCGCACCCGTTACACGTCAAAATATGTGGATGTAATGTGTTGTCACGATTCACACTTTTCTTAACGTGTCCTATCGGCAAGATCAATTTTTGTCAGTGTAAATATTGTGCATTGCAAATAAAATATTAAACATATTCCGAGAAAAAACCCAATATATGGTAACAAATACTCCAATGGTTCAAATGATGAATGACATGTCAGTTCATATTAATGTTTATGCAGTACACTGGAGAAGTTTTTGCAAGAACTTGACGTTATTCGATCGACAAAAACGCAGAGGCAATTCTCTTGAATTATATATATCACAAGTCATATAATATGACTTATCTGCTACTGACATAAAAAAGCTACATTTGTAAGTAAGCGACATGGAAAGTTACTTTTGAGCAAAATGAATTGTAAAACAGATATACTTGGTAGCGGTTAGGTAACCCAAAAAATAAATTGCACTGGTCTTTTTTATTTAGATCTTTAGCAAATCAGTTAATTATTAAGTTGATGAATTATTATAAATAAATGTACCTCCGGCAAATTGTGGACCATATCCTGTACTTATTAATGACTGCAATCCAATCACAGAATTCATAACTGTTTTGATACACATGATACATTCTATCCGTAGGACCAAGTTGGAGAAATTGCTTGTGTATTTGGCTAAATCTCCAAGACATTCAAAGAGTAAATCTAAACCATCTCGCCTCAGAAAATCTAAGATCCACCTTTTGTCGTCACTATCAAGTTTCTTCCTCAGTCGACAAAAGTTAACAACAGAAGGGTGGCGAAGCAGAAAAACACAGGAATTGGTCAAGGACAAGTCATTTACGATATCCGCCAGGTTTGCTTCGGAACTACATCTTTTGCATCTATTTTTAGGCGGAGGTGTATCTTCCGTGCCCATATCGGACACATAGCCAGAATTCGCCATAACTTCCAGGAAGTCAATTCTCCTGATGCTTTTAGGATATACACAGGCAGTCTGTCAGGTGCGAGCTCATATATAGTACGCCTGATGTGTTCACACATTGAGACCAGCAGCTTTGTATCGATTATAAAAATACGAATACTTCATTCACTATTTCAAAAAGAGGACCTCATAGCAACTTGAGACATTATTGAGAGAGAAATGATACATAAGTTTGTTAACCGTTATCGATATATCAAGGGTAGGTAGATACTACTCCTCGTTTTCTTATATTTTAATGTAAAGGTGAAAAGTAGGGTTTATGGTCTTCTTCGCAAAATACATTATCCCGTGCGACTTCTACAATGCTCTAAATATACAGTAAAAATGCAAACTTAAGATTTTTTTTCGTCTATTTTATACTTGAACGATCTTACTAAAATTCAGGTACAAGTAACATATTGTTGATATCTCGGAAAGTCCTTCCCCCTTTTCTGCATTTCTAGGCATCACTTCTCTTCCTATATTTTAATACAGTATATGGCGATGAATTATATGTTTGCATATGATTGTGGAATCCGGATAGGATCACGTTGTTCACTATCGCACAACGATTGTTGGGTAGATGGCGCGATGCTGTAAAAGTGCTGTAATCGTTTGGGCCGTGGATATCGGCCTGGGTAGCTCAGTCGGTAGAGCACCTGACTAGTGATGCAGGGGTCCTGGGTGCGATTTCCGGCCCAGCCATATATTTTCTCCTTTCCTGTTACAGATTTGGTGCCGTTGACCACCCCTTGGCTTGCAGGTAAAAGTCCTGCCAGGGGCTAATAAGAACTTGGATTGTGTCTTCGAGGGTGAAGACAATTTAAGGAGGGAGGAATGTAATGGTTTGGGCTATGGATATCGGCCTGGGTAGCGGCTATTCCTTCATGTAAGAAGTCACGAAAGATTACTTTTAGTTTATAGAATACTACGAGTACTAAGTAATATCATAGGTAAGATGTTTTAAAAAACTTTTCTATTTAAAGAGTCAAAACATGGTATTTGTCCAACACAGTCCTTCTGAAAAAGTCAGCGGCATTGAGCAGCATTTGTCCAAAACAGAGCTTCCGGTAAAGTCAGCGGCACTGAGCGGCATTTGTCCAACACTGTGCCTCTGGTAAAGTCGGCGGCATTGAGCGGCAATTGTCCAAGACAGAGCTTCCGGTAACTTCAGCGGCATTGAGCGGCATTTGTCCAAGACAGAGTTTCTGGTGAGGTCAGCGGCATTGAGCGGCATTTGTCCAACACAGTGCCTCTGGTAAAGTCAGCGGCATTGAGCGGCATTTGTCCCACACAGAGCTTCTGGTAACTTCAGCGGCATTGAGCGGCATTTGTCCAAGACAGAGTTTCTGGTGAGGTCAGCGGCATTGAGCGGCATTTGTCAAAGACAGTGCCTCTGGTAAAGTCAGCAGCATTGAGCGGCATTTTTCCAACACAGAGCTTCTGGTAACTTCAGCGGCATTGAGTGGCATTTCTCCAAGACAGAGTTTCTGGTGAAGTCAGCGGCATTGATTGGCATTTGTCCAACACAGAGATTCTGGTAAAGTCAGCAGCATTGAGCGGCATTTGTCCAACACAGAGCTTCTGGTAACTTCAGCGGCATTGAGCGGCATTTCTCCAAGACAGAGTTTCTGGTGAAGTCAGCGGCATTGAGCGGCATTTGTCCAACACAGAGCTTCTGGTGAAGTCAGCGGCATTGAGCGGCTTTTGTCCAACACAGTGCCTCTGGTAAAGTCAGCGGCATTGAGCGGCATTTGTCCAAGACAGAGCTTCTGGTCACTTCAGCAG